AAATTGTTAAACTAAATATTTTAACTAGTGTTGAAACAATGAAGTAAGTTAGAAACATTTTTTTTCTACGTTATTACTTTTACTATTACCACTTCTGCCGTTGCGAAGATTTTTCAACCACAATATYCTTCGTCTTCCCACAATTTTCCTACCTTCTATTTCTCCTTGAAGTATAAGTTGCAGCTATCAATATCTTTGGTTATTCTAATATCCGTGTTTTTACTGTCATYAGTAGTTTCTATTCTTTTTGCATTCTTTGAAATCAATAGAACTCACGTTGGATAAACAATCTGTATGTAAATATTTAAGATTATAAGTTTCAGTTTTCTTACTTACTGTTTCAGTWAATGTTTATGTTTTGGCTCCATTTTATATTATAGGATAAATGTAAAATCTTACTTGTCTGATCTTGTGAAAAATCTTGGAATTTAAATATCTTGGACACTTATACAAATGCATTTTGAGTCATTAATCCTTGTGTCGAGATAGCTATACTTACRAACTTTTTCTATTTGGTATCCCCTAATGAATAGCTGTTCTCTGGCAATTTTTTTTTCGAAATGTTTGTACGTTTGGTGTTGTTTATGTTATGGAACAGTCCAAAACTCATATACATCTATACTATTATATTTATTATTTTTTGAAGACATGACATACTATTTGCGATGAAAACTATCATTGGCATATCTTATATTATTAATACGTTTGCCATTTACTTTTATAACTCAAATTGTGTATTATTCATTTAAGTTTCATAATTTTTAAAAATTCTTGGATGTATGATTTTTTAAAAGAGCTTTAATAAAAAAATCATAAGACTAATCATTCAAAAGTCTTAACTATTACAACTAGTCTTTAATATTTTTATTATTATTTTAAAATCTAAAATTTTGGATGTTATTTTGTTAGTTAAAATGTCAAAGAAAAGCTGTCATATAAACCAATGTAATTACACGATACAATATTTCAATAAATTAATTCTTTTAGTTAAAACACAGAATATATTATAACAAAATGATAAATACACTAACAGTATGATATTATATATCTATTGGCCATACTATAGGCACATAGGCATATATATATATATATACTATAGGCACAGTGGTTATTGTGTAGTACAATAATTTTAGGTATAACTATTAACTAATATAAATAACTAGTAAGAAATAATATGTCAAAAAATATGTTATTATCGTTAAATTAAAAATATTCATTATTCATTAACAAATTATGATCCTGGCCGTAGGTACTAATAGTCAGAATTCAGAAATTGTATGGAAAATTTGGATTTTTGGAATGAAAAAAAAACTAAAATTTACTGTTTTACTTCCCTATTGTTTTTAATTAATCAGATTAGATTATTTTGCATATTCAATTTAACTAGTTAAGTTACAAAGTTTATATGAATTAAAACTGGCTTGTTAGTGTCCAGCTTTGAAATTCTTATCGAGATAAAATATAGTTTATAGATTCTTGGAATAAAAGCTTTCTGATGGTCATTTTTTTCAAAAATTGGTTAAGAGGGTGTCACATTCACATGTGTCGCCTTCGTCTTAAATATATATGACATACTAAATTTTTGTTCACCATTTTCAATTGTGTGCTATTAGTTTTGATATTAGATTAAATTTTATTAAAGTAAGAACACTATCTGTTTTCTCTCATTGGTTTGTTAGTATATTTTAATTTTTAAGTGAGTTATGAGCAGGTAAAATATTATTTATTTTCAAATAATATTTTATATACTCATTATTCAAAAATTAACACATCGTAAAAATAATAAGAGAACATAGACAATATTCTTACTTAAAAGTTTGATTATAGATAAATTATCTCTGATATCAAAACTAACTGTACACTATTGAAACTAGTGAACTGAAATTTGTCATGTTGTATSTGTGTAAAACGGAGGCAACACATACGGTTACGACGTCCTCTTAAGTAGTTTTAGATATTACTTTGAACAAGTAACAATTTTTCCTCTTTATATATTAATATAGATAATGTGTACTTTTATAAATAATACATTCTGATTTTTTTCTCTAAAATAGGTTGCATACACAGAATCTTTTCTTAAACTATAACTTTTAGGAATTAGGCTCTGAAATGCTATGTGGATTTTTAATATTTTTTTCATAAAAGATTTTTTTTTTAAGCTTTATGTATAAGAACGGTTTAAGAAATAACAATTTTTAACGTTTTCAATTAATACCTGGGTTTCTTTTAAATTAATTTAGTGTAGAGTTTGGATAGTGTTAAATTTGTTTAATTTCTATTAAACAATATTTTGAAAAGCATGCTACTCTTTACAATATGTTATATAGAAGAATAAAATTGYATAAAAAATATTTGTTGTATTTATTATAGTACAGTTGGTATCATCTATAACAAGACCCACTGTAACCCAACATATTGGGTAAAACCACATTAATTTCATAGTAAAATATTCCCTATATTTGTATGTGCAAAGTGACTGGTTATAACAATACTRTACATAATGACAACATTAGCTGATATGACATAAAAATTCGCACTTGTATAGGCAATTTTAATTTTTAATTAACATAATTTATGCAGATTATATAATTTTTATTGTTGTATGTATTCGTCTAATATTATTGGTATCGGTGTAATTGCTTATTTTCATATATTTTTTTAATAGTATCACTATCTTAATCATGAAAATATTAATAAAGATATTTTAGTATTGTTGGGGCCATGCATGATGTTAGGTATTTTTTTTTCTTTTCAAAAAAGATGGTAGGGTGCTAACTGTTCATCACAATACTAAATTATGTTAAGTATAGTTAAAGTATAATTTGTTTTATTAAAATGATTATATTTAGAAAAAAATTGATTTTAGGTATAAAACTTCTGGTTATAACGACATATTTTCAACTATCCACATTTTTAACATCATTAATGATGATATCAACTGTATATTTTTAATTTGAGTTTTATTTATTGCATTTTAAAACAATATTATCCAAAATTTTATTATTTTTAAAACTATAACATAAATTATTTTGAAATTGGGATATAATATAATAATGTATACATTGTTTTGACTTGCAATAAGAATAATATCAAAAGAAAACATCTGAAATATGCCAAAGATCGTCCTTCATCTTATGAACGAGAATCAAGAAAAATTAAGGTAACTTATAATTTATACACAAAATTGTTTAACATATATTTCATTCAATTTTTCTAAATAATGAATAGAAATTCTGCGCTGAAAAAGATGATGACACCAGTTTACAAAAGAGATCTATAAGTCATCAAGAAAATGGAAAATTATCTGAAGAAGTAAATCAACATTATATTTTATTTTTATTTTTATTTTTTTAGWGTTAAATTCTTAAAAAATGTATTACAATTAATTATTGTTATAATTTTGACCAAAAAGTCACTTAGAGAAGGACAGAGTTCGTCTATGCAGAAAGAAGTTAAAGAAGAAGAAAGAATAATATTACGGATTTCAAGAAAGTTTAACAGATTACACGTTGTAATTATTATTTATATTTTAATTTTAAATTTATACTTCATAACCCCTTCAAAATAAATTTGTACCAGCATCCTTTTTCCATTGACTATTTTCAATTGTAATTCAGTTGTCATGATGAACTGATTTTTTGACAAATTTGAATGGTTAATTTTCTTTATATTATGGTTTAGAGTGATAACCATAATATTTTAAAGATATTATTTAGGTTTTAAAATTATTTACTTATTTGCATTCCATTTCATAGAAATATTTGTTTGGACAAATTAATATTGTACTGAATGTCACGTCATTAAAATTAAAATATAGTGGTTAAATAATCGTGTTAGAWTACTTTAATATATAAAGAAACTGATTTGAATACTTTTCTCTAAAAAATTTACTCTTTATTAGATACTTTGATAACTATAAACCAATTTTTAAAATGTATGTAGAAAAACCTTTAAAAAATTATCCATCATATAAATAGGTATAAAATTTATCTTAACACATTAATCTATAATACCTTACGAGGACGTAGAACCCACACATGTTGTCTTATCTAACTCATGTATGACATAGCAACTTTTTATTCCCTAGTTGGAAACATTTTTGAAATAAGTTGTTTTGTGTTTATTTTAATATCAGAGTGAATTGACCTACTGAAAAATTTAAAATCAAAATTATTATGTAGGGCGGCCCCTCTTAGGCTTTTATTTATATCATTATTTTTAWGTGAATTATGAGCCTTTTTAAACATTAATATTTTACCTATTAATAACTYACTTAAAAATTTAAAAATTCTAAAAATCTAACGAGAGGACACAACCGATGTTCCTATCTTAAAATTTCATAATAGTTCAATTCACTCTAATGTTAGAACTAACATTAAACTCTTGAAAATAATGAATGAAAATTCGGTATATCATATATTTTTAAGATGGAAATAACACATACAAGTACTATGTTATCTTAAGCTTAAAATAACAATTAAAATCTTAAAAAAAAAAAAATAATAATATTCTAGTAAATCATGGCAACTAAGTTTCAAGTACAATAAATCAATTTAACATAAATTGTAATCTTGAAAGAGGACGTCGCACCCACATGTGTTGTATCCGTCTTCCACACGTACCACATAGCAAATTTTTGTTCACTAGTCTATAAATGAGTTATGAGTATATAACATGTAAATATTTTAAAATGTACATAACTCATTTCAAAATTAAAATATTGTAAAAAATCGACGAGAAAACACAAATAATGTTCTTACCTAAAATTTTATAACGGGTCAATTAACTCTAATATCAAAACTAACAGCACATTATTGAAACTAGTGAACGAAAATTTGGTATGTGATACATGTGTAAGACGGAGATAACTCATGCGGGTGTGACAGTCTCTTGAATAATATATTATCATTTATCCCTAATATTTATACAATTAAATCTTATTTTTGAAAAGATTGCCAGTAATGAGAAGAAAGAACCTAATGATCCTGAAAATGATGTGCAGGAGAAATCAAACGAAGAACAAGTAATTGTTTTATTCACTTTAAACTTATTTATTTTAAAAGTATTACGTAAATATTTGTCCTTATTTCAATTTTTATATATAATATATTCAACAATCATAATTCATTTAAATAGTTTATTATTTTGTTATCTTTTGTTATATGTGGAATATTTACTACTTGGAGAATTGTAAAAGGGTTTTCAATAAAAAATGATAAAACTATGTAACTGCCTTGAAATTTAACTATATTTGGTTCTGAGTTCATTTATTCTAATGATTATGTATATTGTTTTTAAGAAAAAAAGATTTGGATTGCAGTTTAGAGCTAATTTTTGCAATTGTTCCATTTTTATATACTTAGATCTAGATTACAATACCACTATCATTAATAATATTAACACAATATAGTTAATACCTACTTAATATTATTGATAACTTTTTATTTTTATTTCAGCGAATTAATGAAATTCCTCACATTTTTATAACACAATCAGTAACTAAAAAATATTATTTTTATTTGCTACTTAACTAACAAATTTAACAAAATTACAGATATTTACAATCAACTCTACTTATATAATACCCAATTTGTATGGAACAAAACATAAAGAAATTTGTTGGTAGTTTGAAATTAATATTTATAAAACAATTATATGTGAAACTAAATTCCTTGTGTTAACTGACAAATAGAATCTGTTCTTTTATATGAACATAACCTATTTGGTTACATTGAATTTAACTTAATGACAGTAACTAATGTAGTATGTGATAGTAAAAGTATTTATAATATGATTTCATTATTTCATAGTTGAATTATTAGGCTTAAATTCATTGTTTATATTATATTTGTACTAAAAGCTATTGCTATTTGGTTGACAATTATTGAAACATTTGTAACTAAAATAGTTTTAATTATATAAAGTTTATTAATATATTATAAAAAATAAATTATTAAAAATGACCGGATCTTTAAAAGATTTTAGGTATACTACAATATTTAAATGTTTTTATGTACTAGTTAAATATTTATTCTAGTACACTATCTATATCTAAATAACGGGTAAATGGAAAATTGTATTTAATTTTATTATGTTATGTATGTTTTTAAGATATCAAATGATGGGAAAAAGTCTMGTAAGCACCGGAAAAAACATAAATCAAGGAACAAAAAAAAATCCACCACTGATAATAAWATTTGTTTGCATGAAAGATCTAATGAAGTAAGAGTAAAATTAAATAACTTTAAATAAGTTTTTTGAAATTTATAAATATTAATCTTAAAACAATTAATTTATAATATTATATTGAAAATTAATTTTAAACATGTACGATTTTGAAGATGTCAGATAATGAACAATTGCGGAAGAAAATTAAATCAAGCGACAGAAAAAATTCTACCAGTGATCAAAACAGTCGTTTATGTGAAGAATCATCTGAAGTAAGCTTTCAATAATACCCATATTTTATAAGATTTAATCAATAATAATAAAGACTTATTTTAAATTCCAAGCAAATATTTCTATATTATTGTTATTGATTATATTGTAGTTTGAAATAATATTAATGTATTGAAAAATTGAGTTAGACTTAAAATAAAAACTCATTACAAATTTGTCTTCTATTTTTTAAAGATTTAGAAATCAATATTTCATTAGTGACTAACGCCAAAAATTTGTATTTTTAGATCAAAAACTTATTATTTCTCAATATCCTTTTTTGATTTTTGAATAAAATGTAATTAGCTAGTTTGATAAATTGTTTAAAATTTAATTTCCCAATATTAGGGTTTTGTAGTTATTGAGTTTTTGCTTGAAGCCGTCAAGTGACATGGTATTTTTTCGTAAAATCAACAATTTTAGTTAATTAATGAATTATTGTAATAATACAGAAGTTATCACTAACTAGTTTTTCATTATACTATTCAGATTTTAATTATTTTAATGTGACATAACAGTTTCAATTTAGTTAATGCACAGAGTATATAATATATATGTCTATTAATAAATGACCTAATCTAGAGATTCTCAATATTTTTTCACGTACCGCTAATGTCCATTATGAATTAATCAATCATGTACCACTAATTACAAAAAATTAACTATTCGTAATTTTATTTCAATACATTCTTTACTATTACAGAAAATGTTTTACAAGCATATATTTTTAATGTCTACTTGTTAAAAACAGAATAATATATCCCGATATCCGTTATAAACCTTAGTAAAAATATTAATCAGTGTGGTAAAAGTGAGACGTATTATAAACGCCCCATCATACAACGCTCAAGAGATGACGTTTTGCGCCGTTGTCACACTCTCGGCTGCGGTAATCACATCCATATTTTACACAAATAAGATTAAAAATATATCAGATTAAAAATTTTGTATTTTCATTATTAAAAAATGAAATTAAACAATGTTATATTATACGTGTAGTACAAGAGAAATTGGCTAATCATATTATATATATACGTCGTAGCAACTTCGTGAAATCGATCTTTTCATATGAAAAGATGACCATTTCGTGAAATGGAAACACGTTTTTTACACTTTGTGAAATTCAAAAATATTTCATGAAATGTCACTCAAATTTAACATCGTCTAATTTTTTTCTTCACAAAGTGGTTGTTCAATTTGTATACTGAAATATAACATTTAACAACTTATTCTACCCTTATAGATTTGACTTCAATAATTATGTATAGTAATAAAGTTTATTTATACCATATTAATTTATTAACCGTGTATTGTGAACATTTTTTATTTATTAGAACACAAAAATGAATTGTGACAAGCACTTTTACACGAACAAAATAAAAATCCCCGACCTCCATAATGATTTGGAGGATTTGGACAGTTTCACGCAAGGTTAATTCTTTATAATTGTCATTATAATTATGAATTTTATCAAAACCAATAAATATCATCTACACATTTCAGATAGTCTGGCAATTGCAGTATAATAGTCGTATGGAATAATTTAGATATAATTTAAGTATTTATTGTATTATTTGACATGGGCACGAGGTTAATATGGATATAATCAAACTTGACGTCTCCGTTAAATTGTTCTTGTAAAAGTGGTTGTCAAACCAAAAGATGTGTTTGTTTTAAAGGTTATCTAAAATGTAACAGTCGTTGTCAGAATTTATTTCCCTGCTCTAATAAATAAAAAATGTTTACAATACGGTTAATAAATTAATATGATATAAATAAACTTTATTAATATACATAATTGTTTAAGTTAAATTTATAAAGGTAGGTTAAGTTGTTAAATGTTGTATTTCAATACACATAGTAAACGACCACTTTGTGAAAAAAATTACACGATGTTAAATTGGAGTGACATTTCGTGAAATATTTTTGAATTTCACAAAGTGTAAAAAAAAGGGTTTCCATTTCACGAAATGGTCATATTATCATGAAAATATCGATTTCATGAGGTTACGACATATATAAATATAACTATATAGTGATAATATGATATGAAAATTTTTATACGGGGTAAACTCTGGAACTATGAGTACTTATCAGATCTTGATTTTTTTTTTTTAAACAAATGAGTACACTGTGGAATAGGTTTTTGGTATAAATTTAGTTCTATAATGTTGAGAGGATAAGAGGATGATGACCATACTAAAAAATACAATAACTTTGCCATTTTTCCATCAAAAAATATACTAAATGATAAATATATTTGTATATTGTAAGGTTGCTGCTATTGGTTTAAAATCTAAAGTGGAGTTTTTACTAATTATAACTATTTATTATTGTTTTCGAGTTTTTATAAATTTGTAAGTTTGTAAATCCACGGGAAGTTTTGAATATGACTAGCTGGGTATTAAATAACTATTTAAACAGCAATTTTGAATCAAATAGAGTTGCTTTTTTAACAGGAAACGAAGTGCGCGGGGATCAGCTAGTATATATATATAAAATATTGATTAAAACAAAAGTTATTTCTTTGTCAGGTGTTATTGTTACACTCTGTATTTTATCAAACTCTGACTTTAAAAATCTATTATTTTTATAAAATTGTCCTGGTATTACGTAGATTATTAGTAGTTAATTTATAAAAACCAAAATTTGGGTAATTAGTATTATCAAATATTGCATATTTATTTATGCATTGACTTTGAACAAAACTTTTGTTTTGTAATGTACTTTTCATTTTTTTACGTATACAGTTTATGTACTGATTTAAATTTTAAGAATTTCTAAATTTTTTTGAATTTTTTCGAATTTTTTTCAAATRTCTAATCTCATCGAACTATTTTCTAGTCTGAAAAAATAATTGTTTGAATTGTACGTTTTCTAGCTGTTTTATTTCAATTTTACGATATAGTTTCATTTTGCGTCAGATACGATCGTAATAAGAATAAGATTTATAAAATCGAAAAAGTAAAATAATATTATTCATTGGAAAAATTATTGTTTTAATATTGACAATTTGGCTATTTATAACCCGCACAGCTTCAATAGATGTCTAGTTTTGATCTATATTTACTGTTGCTTATAAATGAAGGGGAGTAGTAAAAATACGGKTTTAGAACGCTGCCGCTGTAGTCGCAAGAACAGCACACAAAGACGGCAATTTCATAATTTATTTGCCAAAAACATTCTATTTTATTTCCAACAGAACTCATCAGGACTCGTTGATTGTAGAAGCATCAAAAAAGCAAAAAAATAATCGCGATGAGTTGTATTAAAACATTTTGGAAMAGATTTTCGGTATCATAATTTGCCGATTACGTATAATTTTTTTAAAGAATGAAAAATCTGTTCAAAGAATTTATACTACAACTTCTCGTTTTTATTTTTATACTCAAACTATATGTTTCTATGATCAACTAGTCCTGAGTACTACTGGAAATAATAAAGCATGTTTTTATGGTTGATTTTTTCTTCTGTAACGGCCTTCTTAATTTATTAATTTTTTATACCTAACACCCACGGTTATCGATGTACACTATACAGGTTCCCAACACCGAACACCGTATAGAAAATGGTTTCCAGAGAGATGCTTACAGTTTATCCCCGAAAATCAGCTGTTCATTATTAGAAGAGGCACAGCTAGCAGTCTCAGTGTATATAATATATAAATAAAAGTAATTATAATTACGCCTAGAAAAGAACGACTATAAAAACTCGTTCATCGCTACTCATAGATTCCTCTACATACTAGGTAGTCAGAAGCTGGTAGGCCACAATCGACGAAGTATCGTTGACATTCGTGTACCTATATGTCACATCCACTTAGTGAAATTGCTCATTTCATGAAGTKGATTTTTACTTCATGAAATGTATCCATTTAGTGAAAATGATTTTTACTTCACTATATGGAAAATTATTTGACCTTTTCAAGAAGTGCATGAAATTCATTTTATCAACATTCTGTAATATTATTATTATATTGTATAATATGATAATAATATAATATAAACTTAAATTATGAAACAAAAATTAATCTAAAAGCTTTCTTAAACTTTATTTTATATTTTCGCATTTATTTTTATATGGTTGAGAGTTATGGCAACGACTATTGYACAGCATTTTGTATTTTAAAACCGGTTATTTGGTATTGGGTAATAGTACAATTTTCACTAAGTACTCGTAATTGTGTATAAAATAAATATAAAAGTTGCTTGATATAATTTGTAACTATGATCCCGTTGAAAATAATCTGTAAGTCTGTCTTATTCGTGAAGTTGTTAGAAGATGTTGACTCTGACTAAAAACGCGTTATTTTATATAATATGGAAAAAGTATTAATATATGAGAAGTTAATAAAATATTATGATACGAAACCGAAGAAAAAATCTGCAAGTCAAGAGGAATAGATTCAAATGATCATGGARATTGAAGCTGCTAAAACTAAAACGTAAGAATTTAACAAATCAAAAATAATAATAATATTTGAATTCAATGGTATAAAAGGGGATCGCAGCAGAGTATTTTTATTCTTCATTGATTTATTCTTAACYYTATTATTGATTTCAATTTTTATTATAACTCGTTCATTATTCCTCATAGTCATATAAATTTAAATCCTAAATAATAACGGTCGTGATTTAAATCACGTCGTCAAGTCCTTGTCAAACATCAAGATGTTAATAAAAAAAAAAATTTGCAATAGTCGTTGCTATAACTCTGAACTATGTAAAAATAAATAATAAAATATTATAAAATAAAGTTYAATAAAACTTTTTATTTAATTTTAAGGTTATATTATATTATTATCGTATTGTACAATATACCTATTAATAGTAATATTACAGAATGTGGATAAAATGTATTTCATCCACTTAGAGGCGTATTTAGAAATTGTTTGCCCCAGGTAAGAAAGAAAAAGCCACTTTCCAATCAACATTTGTTTAGCAATTAGGTGTATTTGTAAATAAAAACAAGATCATTTATTAATGTCTGAGTGTCATTACTTTTTTTATCGTCCAAATGACCTAGGCACCGTGTTATATCAAAATTCTCTCCAAAATTTACCGCCCGGGCCAAAAGCCCCCCCTCCCCCATGGCCCTCCTAAATACGCCACTGTATCCACTTCATGAAAAGATAAAAAAAATTGTCTATATATAGTGTAGTAAAATGTCATTTTCACTAAATGGATACTAAAGTGATCTCACTAAGTAGATCTGACATATACATAAAAATGATAGTAACAACGATTACATTTACGTTGTAATGTATTTTTCGAGGAGTATTTTCCGCTGTATACACGTCATCGAATAGTAGGAGAAAATCTTTCATGAGTATATCAAGAAAATATACATTGTTTAATTACATTGATTTCCGATTGGGCGCTAGTTGCGCTTCTCGCAGGCCGTAAGGTCATAGAAGTGACAGTCAAACAGCTGATCAACTTACCTACATTTTTCCAAAGACTCGGCACGAAGTTGGCAGCGGAGGCTTAGCATGATTTTTGGGATGTGTTTTAGWATGGATTTTAGAGTACAACACATTTATAACATCATGCTGTTCGGCGAACCTTATGCAAAATTATGTCAAGGTTAACTAAAATATTTTTCAGTGAACCGTGAGATTTTGAAAGCTGTTGCTTTAATTATTTTCCATTGATAAGGCATACTAAACGCCGGAATCGCAGTCTTACTGATGGTTAGATGATTCCCCCCTACGTGGAGTCTGGATACTATCATCGGCTTGTATGTATTTACCCATCATTTCATATACGTTTTGTGTACTTGAATCTATTTGATAATATTAGTAGAAATTGGTACATACTAGGATATAGAGTTTCAATACCAAAATGAATTTATCAAGAAAGAGTAAAATAATAATCGATTTAAATCTATATATATTCCAAATTGGAAGGTATGAATTGTTACCAAAGCGTGTTCGGTTAATCTTTTAGTGACACAGCGCACTCTGGTTGTTCGCCTCAACGACCTCAAGTACCGATGACTAAACGTGAACTGCTCCTCCACTATCTACTCAGTTACGTTACCAACATCATGGCTTAATTTATTTAGTCATGACCAACATATAAACTAGAAATAACTAGTTGGAGGTTAAATATTTACTTATTTAAAATATTTTCATTAGGTCTTAAGCGTTTATGAAAAAAATTCATAATTATTTTTGATTCAAAATTAAATAGGTCACAAAAAACCTGGAGCTTCAGCACCACCTTGTTCAAATGYCTAGTTGCATTGATGTGCACAGGTCTATTATTTATTGTCCATACCAAGTTGACAGGTTAGATACGCGTATAATAATATGACAATATGACAATATTGTGTTCAGTCTAAAGCTAAACGCCACTATAATTATTGTAAATATGCGTAAAAAACAGTCTACATCACACTGCCAGAGGGTTTACCCCAACCTATGATGCTGTTTTTAGCTATTAAAATGTTTTTTTTAACACAATACATATTACTGTTTAATATTTATTTAAAAATATAAAACTGGTTGATTTACAGCTTGAGCTCTGTTACTTGTGCAAGAAGGACCATTGTCACATTTGAATGAATTTGAGATTAATTGACAAATATCACTGATGCAGTATAGCCGAATTAATACAGACCAGTGGCGCAACCAGAGAGGTGGACTGGGTCCGGACCCGCTCCCTCTTGGCACGTATAATAGTATTGTTAGTAAAAACATAACTTATTTTTAATACAAATAAAGATGGTTTATTTTGTCCCCCTTCCTTTTGGAAAAATGTCTGGTTGCGCCATTGATACAAACATTGGCTATTTTTAACTTAATTGATAGAAGTTTATTTTGAAATCAATCAATAAACTTCATGAAATATAAGTGTTATATTCAATTGAATTTAATTATTATATTTCAATAAAAAAAGTGTTTATTTGATATTCCTGGTTTTTTCCCGTCAGATATCAAAAAGGTACATAAAAAAATTAAATTATTAAATTTTCTGATCTTACTAAATTCAAATGTTTCTTTGAATTAATATAGGAAAAATGTTGTCAATTAAATTTCATCACTTAAAATCCTTAATTATTGCTATAATTCGATTTTAAAATGATATTACTCTGCAATGTTTTTTTTGTGACATTAGTCTTTCTTGTATCGAATCACAAAKCAATAAGAATAAGTTTAAAAATAATAATAATTCAATATATTATATTAATTTTTGAAGATATCTGATGATGATGATGACAAAGAAAAAAGGTGCAGGAGGCAAAAGAAAAGTAGAAGAAGTAAATCTACAAACGATGATAATTATATGCAAATGGGTGAAAGCTTATTTGAAGTAAGAGTAAAAAGATTGCTTTTAAAGAACTTTAAAATACCTATTAATAAAATGTCATTTTATAACAAGAGTAGCAATAATAAGTGAGGAATGAAAATCTATAATTTAACAATATATGTATTATATTTATAAAGGTATCTAATAATGAAGAAAAAAAGGATAAAAGACAAAAGAAAAGTGTTAGAAGCAAATCAGCAAATGATGATAACACACAAATGAATGAAAGCTTATCTGAAGTAAGATTAAACTTTTTTGAACCATAAAATGTAATTTATAATAAAATAAAAATATGCTTAAACTATGCTTAATTCAACTTAAAAATTGTACTCGTTATTGAATAAGTTTCATTTGATGGTAGTCAGTTAACAGTTCAACACTCAATACCTGTTTTTTACTCCATCTATAAACATGAAGTGCTATGCACCTGTACAAAATATGGCTGCTGAGTATAGTTTTTAACTYGAATAGAGTWTAGTTRAAGTCAGAAATGAAAATTATATAACAGTATATATTTTTATAGGTATTTAATGAAGAAAATAATGTATATAAACAACAAAAGAAATGTGGCGAAGGCAAATCTGTTAGTGACGATATTCATATGAGTGGATTTTCTGATGTGTCAGATGTAAGAGAAATATAATCTTGCTTTTATTTGAAATAATTTTGAAATTGTTAATATTTTAATACATTATAAATGAAAATAAGCAAAAAATAAAAAAGTAAGAATAAAATACTCCCCCTTATTATAAGATTTTACTAAATAACCCATTTTTGATCTACTAAGTTATTAATAGTTAGGAGATCATAAGTTAAATTCTTACAATGTTCAAAATTTTAAATGTATTTAATGATATTATGGAAACATTAAAATTCAACACTGGCATAATGATATAGAAGAAAATTTATAGTGGTAAATAGTAATAATTTGAGGATTAAGATTCATAATGAAGTCTAAATGTATATCTCCATCTTGAGATTAATAAAATCTTTGGATTCCTGTTTGTATGGTATTAGTTGTTTCAAAACTATCTTAAATCTGTGAAAATAAACATAAAACTTATTTGAATGAGACTAATAATAATAATTTTACAATGTATACATTTTAAAGATATCAAGTGATGAACAAAAATTTCAAAAAGAAAAAAAGAAAAGAAAATTAAGAAACAAGCAAAAATCTGACTATAATATTAAAGATGACAGTAGTTTGTGTGGAAGCTTGTCTGAAGTAAGAACAAAATTATAATTCCAATTATAAAAAATACAATAATTTATTTTTAAATATCTAACAATATACAAAAAGTCATAATGTTAATTTTTAAAAATCATAAACGCTTTATATACAAGTATATACCTTTAATCATAATAAAAAATATAGCAAAATAATTTTAATAATGTGATTTTTTTTAATGATGACAAAGGATGATGAAAGTCCTAATAAAGATAAAAAAAATTATAAATCAAATGACAGAAAAAAATATGAGCATATTGATAATGATAGTAGTTTAAGTGAAGTAAGAGTATAAATACTATATATGTTTCATAAAATGAGTTAATCAATTGTAAATTTAAGGATTCTTTGGAGGACTCCAGTCTTTTGTCCTCATCTAGTGATGAAGAAGTTGTAATGCGTAAATACATGAGATATAGTGACAAATCATATCAACGTTTACGTTATGTAAGCATCTAGTTTTTCTATTTGTATATATATTTTTAATTTGTATAATTGTTTAAAACCCATTTAATTTTTATATTATAGGAAACTTCATATAGTTTAAAGCACATAAAAACTACTAAAATCGATTTGAGAGACATTCATGATGATTTGTATCTGCGCTTAACTCGAAAAATAATTTTAAAAAACTGCAGCAAGTATGTGTTTAATGAAGAATATTTAAATTTAAAAATCCTAAAGAATAACTTCATTGCTAGTATTTATTTATTGTAGTATTATAGTATTTATTGAATTAAATTTTGATATTGAAATATAATTTTTTTAAACTCTTATTAATTCATAAATTTGAATTAAAATTATTGTTTTTTTTTTTTAAATATGTATAGTTAATTGATATTGCTTTATAGATTATCTTGTTCAATTTTGACTTTTGATCAAAATTTGGTTGTTGCTGGTTCAATAGATTCTTTAATTTATTTATGGGAGAGAAAAAAGGAAACGTCTGTATCAGAACATGATGTTCTACATAATATTGGAAATATAAATCCCAGCAATTTTTCATCTTCAGCAGAAGGAAACAATTTAGTTGAATAGTAAATATTTTTACCATATTTTAACATGTCTTTATATTTAAATGATTGGATTATTAATGTTTTTTACAAGTTTGGACAAAAATAAAGCGTTTATATTACGTGGTCATGGTGGACCTATATTTGATTTAGCTGAATTACCATCGGCTAAAATTCTGCTTAGTGCATCTAATGACAAAACCTACAGAGCTTGGGACATGGTATCTAAACAGTGTTTAGAAGTTTACAAGTGAGTAACTGTAGATTTAGGTGTTTTTAATTGATAAAGAACTCAACTCTGTAATAGTTATAATTGTCTTACAATAATAATGTTGATCTACATAAAATTTTAAAACATTCTGCGATTAATAACATTATACTGCCGTAAACATAAGAGTATTTGTTCCTTGTTCACAACTGGAGAATTCATCTATACATAATACATACATAGAAACAATACCTATTTATTTTATTTTCATGATTAAAGTTTCTTATTAAGCAATTAAAKACTAGTAATCAAACATAATTATATTTGCTGACTCTTAAACTTTTAATATTTAAAACTAGCCATTTTTTTGTGACTACTGGATCCTACAATTACTAACTTGGATATTACAATCATTATGTAACTATATAGAAAGTATAAAAATTATTGTTCAACTTATGACATGATTCTCTGCATTAATTTACAATAAAAACTATATCTAAATTAGCATAATTTCCATAATGTAATGTTGATTTAATAAAAATATAATATATGTCCAATATCCATTAAAAACTTTTAAAATTAAATTTTGTTTGGTTTCCCCTGTAAAACTGTTCTCTTAGTGTCTTCTTAAAGAATTTTAACCGTTAACTTTTTTTTTTTAGTGAACATGAACATAGGATATGGTGTATTGCTGCCTGTCCATATAGTTTGCAAGTGGCCACAGGATCTAGTGAGGGCACTAGTTGTTTATGGTTTTTGAACTATAAATGTCCGTTAAGATTTTTTACGGGTCATCTTGATGATATTTTGGTAAGATTATGAAGTTAATCTTTATTAGTTAATAGGAAATTTATATTTTTTACAAATTATATTTTAGGTTGTAAAATTCCACCCTAATCAAATGTTCCTAGCTACTGGTTCATCGGATAAAACTATTAGAGTGTTTGAGTTAACAACTGGTGAATGTCATAGAGTTTTAACTGGACACTCCAACTATATCACATGTTTAGAATTTAATGCTCAAAATCCTAATTATCTAGCATCTGCTTGTAAGTAAAATTTTTTTTGTAAGACAAGGTCGGTTAGGTTAGCAAGAGTCTAATTTGTTCATGCATGTAATATTAATCATTTTTTTAAAATTTTTTTACAAAGAAATTTACAAAATTGCAATTTTGCTACCTCCAATGTTTTTAGGAAGGCTATTAAAACTACTTCTTAGGTTCTAACAAATTTTTATAGAAAAAAACTGCTACATAAATCATATAAGAACTGTAAATGTATTATTTTATGTATTCTCACTATTTTTATTTTGAGTAAAAGTTGGTTAATTCTACAATATTTTACCTAAATAATTTAGATTGTATCAATTTAAAATATTATTTTCAGCTGCTAGCGGAGAAATAGTTGTTTGGGATTTACCGACATCTGAAAAAGTATGGAGGATTAAAGTTGGTAACATGTTATTTTCGGATCTAGTGTGGTTAACTGAAGATTTATTATTAGCTTCATTGACTAGTGGTGTTGTTTTGAAATGTGACACTAAACTGTAAGTAAAAAGAACATTTTTTTTTTTTAATTCATAATATATATATGATATTTATTTAAAACTTTTTTTCACTAGGAATTATGTAGATTCCTCCTGTAAAGTAAAAGGATTTGAAACTCAATATGATCGTCTCATATCCTTACAAATAATTGACAATATAGTTTATACAATAGGCATTCCTGATAAATCAGGTGGTCTTAAACCACTAACTAAGAGAAACAGAGAGAAAGATTCACAAATGAAAAGTGAACAACAAAAATCTCAAAAGGAACCTTCACTACTGTCAAAATTATTTTTCCCACAACATATTATTGATAACAATGGAAGTTCAATGATACCTTTGCGTGGATCGARTTCTACAATACCAAGTATTAATTATAATTTTGATTATCAAATAAATATCGATGATCAGTTTAAAAAATCAAAATTTCCAAATTTTTTTGATTTGAATTTAAGATCTTCACCATTTAATTTAACTGATGATGAAATATCTAAATTAAGTTCCCAATATCAATCAGAAAATATACGATTAATACCAGCAGTGTCTATAACTAATAATCTTCAAAATGCTTACCTATTGCCTGTTCAACAAAATATTCGGACAAGTAGTTTACACCTTACAAATGTACAGTTGCCAAGTACGAGTAAATCACAAARAGTAAATAAACCGCAAGGGCTATCAAAATCAAAAACAACAACAGCAAAACAAAATAACTTTGGTAACAGTAGTTTAACAATGCATTCAAGTATTCAACATATGCAAATAAAAACCACTACAGTTCAAGAGCAGTTGCATTTGGATGATCATATAGAAACTAATATGTCAATCCAACAGTATCTACAAACAACTAGCACAACTACTCACAAGCAGCAAACTTCAAACCTATTACATGTTACACGACCTGGAGTGAGCTCTCAATTAATTCAGAATAGCATTATACAGCCAGAGCAGCAAGTACAGCTACAAAATGACACCGGGAGTAATAGTAATGTAACTGGTACAAATGTTCAACAGCAGCAGTTATTACAGAAATTACAATCTAACACAAATTTAACAAAAGGAAATGCTCAACAGCATTTATCTCCACAAACAAATTATCGATCGTCCAATATCAATGTTACTAAACGTCCATCTCCTAGACAAAGTCCAAATAAATTATCTTCTTTGGATGAAACAAGCACAAGTAAACATACTCACATGCAGTAATGCTARTAATAGGTTATATTCAAACTATGCAATGCTCCGAGATAAAATATAAAAATTCAACATTCATAACTATTTACTACTTATTTAGACATAAGTTTTTTTTCAAAATGTAATTCTTAGCATTTTAAATCATAAGTTGTCATTCACAAAATTATTTAATTAATTATATATTTTATATTTATTCTTTAATGTAAAGCAAGACTATTATAATTATTTATTGATTTTAAAAATATTTGATACTTAAAATAAGATATTACACTATTATACTATACCTAAATGTAATTTAAGAAAACAAAATTTATAATTTGAAAGTAGTTATTTTTAACTATCCATTTAAATGTTTGTTTCTTATAGCTGAACATTATTTTTTATTTATATTATTATTTATTGGATTGAAACTAAGTTAGATAATACTAAGTTAAAAATGTTAAAAATTTGGTATCAAGATATTAGAGTTTTTAGAGATATTATTTTATTATAGTTAAGTTAATTTAGTTTAAAACTACTGCAGCAGTTAAGATAAAAAAATTTAATATTAAGAACTGAACTAAGTTTTTGATAATGAAATCGAAAAACATACAATATTTTCATTAACGAATGACAAATTTAAAATATAAAAACAAAGTTACAATATTTATTATAATTGATTTTAATGTGGAACTAAGCTGGCAAACATAAATATAATATTTTAGAATTCTATCCAATTTTAATTTTTACAACTCATTTGAATTTGTTAGCCTCTTTTCGGTGTTTTGTAGGAAAAGCTTAATTTATTTGTCTTATTGTTGCTTAATACATATTCATTTTGAAAAATCAAATAAATACATTTGAAACCGTAGTAAAATAATGACCTAAAAAAAACTTAGAATAGAAACTAATGAATTAAAATAATTTTTCAAAATCAAAATTTAACTTCTAAAAGTATATTAATTTTTACCAGCTTAGCTTATTGTACTCACAAAAGAAAAAAATATAATATTTTGTCGTGCCTTTTTTGACTTGTGCATGTGTGTATGTGTGCTTTAAAACATAGCCAATCAATTTCTTACATTGCGATATAGGACGATGTGGAATCCACAGTCACATTAATAATCATTTATGATTAACATAATGATCAGGAGCAGTGCCAACAAGATTATAAATAGCCTAAATGTTGCCCCTTAAACAAAATCCACTATAAAGAACCACCTTAACCCACATTATGTAACAATTGATCTTACAATTGTATCAGTAGCATTTTTTACTCAAACAATTTTTTTTTTTACAAAGGATCAATGTATTTATAATATCTTATAAATTTAACCCAAAATAAAAATTAAGAACTTCATCTTTTAATGTTCATTATATCTAATTAAATGTTGGCTTTTATGTATTAATTGGATTTATATGTGTTTATTAAATATAAAATTTATCATTGTCAGTTTTTTTTTTTTTGATAAATTAAATCAAATACACATTAATAAATTATGTACAGCATAATTATTAATTAATGTTAAATGTCAAACAAGAGTTTTTCTTAAATATATGTAATTATTATAAGAAGCAAATTTGTTGTTGAAAAATGTTTACTTGAAAATTAAAAATTAAAAGTTTCATTGTTTCCATTAATTTCATTAAAATATGTTTACATTTTAACCTAATTACTAACATTTACTTTACAAATTATGAAAGAGAAATTTTTACAGTTTATTATTCAATAATTATTATATTTTTATCTTAAAACATGTAAAACTTWATTTACTTTATTTTCATTAGAATAACATTGCTGAAAACTGAACGGTAAAAGTTCATTCATTATTTAAAAATAAAATTGAAGACCATGGAGCAACAACAAGACGTGACCATATTTTGGTCTAAATTATTTGTTGACTACACATTATTAAGAAAAAAACTGTGTCATTTTGTGCAACAACCTGACAAATCCAATTATTAAATACAAAGATAT